GAAAATTCTAGATTACATATAGGATTGAGTAGAGTAAATTCTTGAACATGGGCATCGGGGAATGGATTCTCGGTTAGGATAGACATATACATAATTGTCTTGCTTGGTTAATTTACAGGAATTATAAAGACGTTCTTGTTGATTGTAACTCTATAGACATATAGGCGTTGGTTTAGCTTGAATAGGCGAGTAAGAATTCGACAGATTCTTATGAGCAATATTAACCCTGTCAACTAATAAACTAGATAAATTAGTTAGTCAATTCAATTGAAGAATACAATATGATTGTTAGATAGCCCATAACCCTAGATCGTTTTCATTGCATTGATAACATAAAAATCTGCTATCCTTTTGTTCAGAGTTCATTATTTGTAGTCTTTTTATTTTAATTAGTTTAGAGTCATATACTTTTAGGTTTAATTTTTATTTAGATAATTAGGATAGTCTAATTTAGTTAATGGTTAATCACAAGTCCCCGTGGGTTCGACATCCGACTTTTAGTCACTTTATTACTTGACAACGCGTATACTTGCATGTGCGTTTGACCGCAACAAGGAATGTCTAAAAAATGGAAGAATACAAAAACTTTCGAACTTCATCTTTAATTTCACTTGTTCTATGTTCACATGAGGTTTGACGTTCCAAATTCCTTATTGGAACTTACAAAACAGTTTAAACTTTTATTTCAATATAAAATATAATTAATAAATTATTTTTTGTTGTATATAAAATAATAATTTATAATATTCGAGTATATAATATTGTCATAAAAATGTAATTTTGTAAATATGCTCAATTTTATAGGTGAAAGTTTGTTATAAAGAGGTAAAATATAACTAAAGAATTTGTTAAAAGAGAATTTGCTTGATATAGAAAGGTCTGACTATACTAAAAAATAGAGATTCATAAGTATTAATAGGAGCAAAATATTAAATTAAAAGTTTAGGTAATTGTAAGGAAAACAATTTCTGCCAATAAGTGAGATGTTGGTGTTAGAAATAAAAATGAAACTTCTCTCGAATTCTCCGATAAAAGTATGAAGAAAGACAATGGAGATAAAATCGGCTAGGTTACTTATGTTTTGATTTGTGTCTGAGAAGGGCGTATATCTTAAGGAAAGGATGGGTCAACCCTTTTTGGACTTGGACTCAACTCTAAACGGGCCTCTTTTGTTTTGGACTTAGTTGTACATCAAATGGGCCTTAAAACTTCAGTTATTCCATTTGCCCATTCTAAAACAAACCCAGAAGATAGAAAGAGATATTTTACATAGTAGATAGAATCATTCTTTTATAAATATTCTTTTAGTCTGTTACAAAAGTTTGTTACAATAACTGTTAGGAATAGGCTAGTAAAATACTGCCACTTGACAAAGTTTGTTTAGACTAGATTCTATTCTTGTGTATAAATAGATTACACTGTGCAGAGAAATACAAACATAAAATTTCCAAAATCATTCTCTTCATGGTATCAGAGAAGGCTTGAACTGCTTCATTTTTTTCACGACCCTTCCACAATTTTGCTGTTTCTTTTTGTTTTCTTCTCTTCAGCTATGAGTACCACTGGACAGACTCCAGATCCTCTCGCATCAGCCACTTCCACAATCGACCCTGTTGTACCAACAACTTCAGTTATAAGTGGAGTGGTTGATTCATCACATCCCTACTATCTTCATCCCTTGGATTATCCAGGAATGAATCTTGTGTCCACAGTTTTTGATGGAAGAAGCTATGGTAGATGGAGAAGATCTGTAGTAATTACTTTATCTGCAAAAAATAAGTTGGGTATTATATATTGATAGAACTCTTACTATTCCACAAGTTGATTCTGAACTTCAAAATACTTGGGCAAGGTGTAATGACATGGTATTGTCATGGCTACTCAACTCTCTATCTAAGGAAATAGGAGAGGGTGTTCTTTACTTTTAAAGTGCCAAGGACTTGTGGAGTGATTTGGAAGACAGATTTGGACAAACTAATAAAGCTAAGTTATTTCAGTTAAAAAAGTAACTTAATAATGTGGTACAAGGTAATTCTAGTGTATCAACCTATTTTACTAAGATGAAAAGCTTATGGGAAGAGCTTGATGCCTTGAACATTTTCTTAGCATGTGTTTGTGAATGTGAATATGGAGCTAAGGTGAAGAATTCTAAGGTACATCAAGATGAAAGGTTGCTGTAGTTTTTGATGGGTTTGAATAACATATTCATAGGTGTTAGGAGCAATATATTGCTGTCTTCACCCTTACCTTCCATTGGACAGACTTATTCACCGGTGATACAGGATGAAAAGCAGAGAAAGATTCATGCTGCTCCTGCATATCCAAGAGAATCAAGATCTTTCCTTGCTACAAACCAGCAGGGAAATGGGAGAAGGTTCAATAAAAATAAGGGACATGAGAGAGGTTTTTATCTTAGAAAAAATGCTAGAATATTTACTTACTGCAAAAAATCTGGGCATACTATTGATAAATGATATAGGATTCATGGATTTCCTGCAGATTTTAAGTTCACTAAGCAGAGGAAGTTTCAAGGGAATGTACAAGCAAATGCCGTGTTTAACATAAATGAAGAGGGAATCCAAGGAACACTAACGTACCAGGAACACAGTCACTTACCCAGGACAATATGACACAATTATTGCAGCTTCTACAACAGGTCAACATAGGATAGCAAGGTGCAGGATCCTCTGAAGTCTCTACAAATCTGAGTTGTGCTGGTATAACTAAAATTTTAAATTCCTTTGTCTGTTTCATTCAAATTGATAGTGAATCATGGATATTAGATAGTGGAGCAACTGAGCATATGACTTTTAACATAAATTTCTTTATTAACTATAAAGCCTTGCCTAAACCTGTCATAGTCAATCTGCCTAATTCACATAGAGTAAAAGTTACACATTCAGGTTCTGTTGAATTATTACCAAACCTAGTTTTGCACAATATATTGTATGTGCCTTCCTTTAGATTCAATCTGTTGTTTGTGCACAAGTTGTGCAAACAACTCCAACAGTATGTTCTTTTCACTCCTGATTCTTATTTTCTGCTACAGGGCCCTTCACTGAAGAGTCCTCTGGAGATTGGTAAGGAGACATGAGGACTCTTCATTCTCAAATACTCAAGACTTACAACCCCAGTTTTTAAAAGTTTCCCTATGTTTAGTACTTATGTACCTAGATAGAGTTTACATTCTGTTCCAGTTTTTAATTCTTGTTTTGCTTTTTCTGATTCCAATGTAAAAAGGAAAGCTATGGTATTATAGGTTAGGCCATATGTCTTTGAATAATATGAAGAAAATTTCTGATATTTCTGTTCCTTCATGCTTTACTCATTTTACTCCTTGTCTTATTTGTCCTATGCCTAGACAATCCAAGCTTCCTTTTTCTTCAAGTTCTATATCAACCAAAAGGATCTTTGAACTAATCCATGTGGATACTTGGGGACCCTATATGGATTCTACCTATGATGGTTATAAATATTTCCTCATTATAGTTGATGACTACAGTAGAGGGACTTGGACCTACTTACTAAGTAACAAGTCAAATGCTTTCACTGTGTTAAAATCTTATTTAGCAATGGTAGAGAGGCAATTTCATACAAAAGTTAAGATAATCAGATCAGATAATGCTTTTGAATTGGGTTCTGAAATTGTTCAAACAGATATTTTTCTTTCCCAAAGGATTATACATCAAACCAATTGTGTGTCCGCTCCACAACAGATTAGAGTTGTGGAAAGAAAACATTGGCACTTACTAGAGACATCTAGAGCTCTATTGTTTCAATCTCATTTACCTATATCATTTTTTTTGGGGGGG